GAGCACGAGTTGAAGTCGATGGCACGTTTGCTGCCCTCCCCAAATAACAAAGAAAACAATTTGAAGTAGGGGTCAGTACAAGGCACAAGTACTGAGTAGGTATCATCGGCCGACTCAAAATAGAAAACGATATATATCAGATAATAACATAAAATCGGCTACCATACTCAACTAGTGAAAACAACAAGTACCATAACCATTGACCACAACCCAAGCACATCTATGAGGACTCAAGCCTCCACACCATGCTCATTTGGGAAATAGGTTCTTTAAATTTTAGTATATTAACATAATTCAAGATTCATTCTCTTTATCATCCTTGTGTCGAAACGTGTCACTCCGATCCCTTAAAGATTCATTCTCTTTATTATCCAGGTGTCGAAACGTAATACTCCGCTCCCCTACTACTACGTGTCGGTTCGTGACACCCGATCCCTTAATTCCCGGCATTGGTACGTGACACTCCGATCCCCTAATTCTATGTGTCGGTTCGTGACACCCGATCCCCTAATTCTATGTGTTATTTTGTGACACCCGATACCCTAATATCATTCTTTTAGTTCATTAAGCCTTCTTTTATACCAAGGCATCATTATTAACAAAGTGGATTTAAGGTTTAAGATTCACAGCCTCATCTTTCCAATCCATTACAATTGCATAACCACATCATGCAAGCACACAATTAAGACTATAGAAGACTTTACAATACGACCCAATACATATCATTCGCTATTAAGATTTTACTATGAAATAGCATAACCATAACCTACCTTCACCGAAGAATCGTGATCAAGCAAGCTATCCCCTAAACCGTTACTTTCCTCTGCGTTCTTCTCTTTTTCTCGCTCGTTTCTCTCTTCTTTTGTGTTCTTTCTATTTTTCCTTATTCAAACTCTTTTTGTACCTTAATTATCATATAATTAAGTATAAAAGATGTTAAAAGTAACCCACTATTTATTTCAAGGTTATCTCTTTTAACCCCTAAGTGATTGAATTATTAACATTAAACCACATGTAATAAATGTACCTGCAGTGAAAACCCTAATCTGTAAATTCACATTAATTCTCAACCCAAGACATGAGTTACTAGTCTTCCAAGAGTCAAAAAACCCAAATTCCTCTCAAATCATCATTTCTCTCCCTAAAAATTTTGTCTCTATAGAATTTTCTCAAGGTGTTCATCAGACGAGTTTGCTAATCGGGTAATTTCTTGGATAATTGTGTGTTGTGATGGCTGGAAATCCAGCGGATGAGCGATTAAGGCCCCCATATCCAGCTTTAGGAACTGGGAATCCTATAGTTCAATAAAAAATCCACGAAGTGGCGGAAGAGTCTTTGTCTACCTCCTCGCAATTGAGAGAAGTCAATATTGCGACTATGGAGGAAGAAATCGATGCATCGCATCACAATTTTGGTAAAGGGCACAATATTAGCAGTCAAGGAGAAGCAATTCGTAGAATAGAGGAACAGATGGAAATTGAAAAAATCGCATCGCAATAATCGGTGCAAGAGGCGGCGAAATAGATCCAAACCCCAGGTCAATAGGCGAGTAATAGACAAGAATCAGGTATTGGGGATATATCACCAGTTCGCGATTCTAATATTCAGTAAATTGGGGTTGGAATTGAAGGACAAAATGTCGACCATCGACATGAAGGAGAAACTGATATCACGCAGCAAAGAACAGCGAAATCGTGATGTTCAACAACAACAAGGTCATCTACCTGTACAAAATCCTCAAAGTATTCCTAATTTGAACAATGAAAAAGAGATAACACGGCAATTCCAAAAACCTACAAGAATTCAAGATTCAGGGGAGGCTGTTCATCTCGCAAAAAATGTCATCCTGCTATGCACTCGTCTGAATTGGCCATTAGAACTCATAATGGTCAAGGTAACGCTTCTTTACCTAATTTAAATTTTAAGAATGATGGTTTGTTGAAAGGAATTGATAGAACTATTGTTGAACATGATTATCATAATAATTTTCCTAAAGTATCTAGCAATTTCGATCGACCTGTCCCTAGGGTGATGAATGAGAAGAATGATCAACCTCCTAATAACAACTTCAATAAGAAAGATCATATACCTGAGCCTGCACCTTATACCATTGTTCAAACATATGCAGATAGACTTAGACATAATTGGGCTAAAAAGGGTGTGAGTATAAAATTAACAGAACCTGAGATTACCTCTAAATAAGGGCTTCCTGCTGTGTTATATGTCAAGGATGAATTGGTTAAAGACTTAGCATCGACTTGTAAATTTACCTTGATATTGGAAATTCATTTACACTATGCCAAGAGTTGATTTGATTAGGAAGAACTTCATACTTCAAACTCAATTGTCGGGTGGTGTTAAAATTGCTCATTTTAATTCTAGGCATGTGTACATAGACTTGGATAATGCATTAAATTATAATATGGTATGGACTAAGCAAATAATGACTATAGCTGTCCAAGTTATGAGAATCCAAGCATGGGCACCAACTTTCAAACCTTAGGAAGAAACACCCTTGGTGCCCATTTGGATCACCTTACCTGAATTACCTTGGCATTGCTACAACAAAGAGTTTTTCACCACCTTATTGTCCCCTATAGGTAGACTATTATACCTTGATTCTTCCTCCATTAATAAAACAATAGGGAGCCAAGCTATAGTTAAAGTGCATGTTGATTTAACTAAAGAAAGACCCCCTCACATTTGGATGGGGTACATTGGGGAAGATATAACAGATGGGAGGTGGCAAAAGATTGAGTATGATAGTATTCCTGACTATTGTTATTACTGCAAGCATCAAGGTCATAAAGAAGTTAATTGTATTGTTAAACAAAGAGATGAGGATAATAAAAAAAGAAAAGAGATGGAAAAAAATAAGCCTAGGAAAGATACTGCTCAAAATGTTAATGTAGAATTGCAGATTAATAAAGACAAGGACAATGGTAGAGGTTATGTTGAGTACAATCAACAAAGACACCATCAGGTTGATAATCAACATCAAGTGATCCAAGAAGAATGGAAAACACAAAAAAGAAGGAGTGGTAATAAACAAGTTAGATTTAGCAATGACAAGACTATTGTTCATCAACAACAGCCAGAAACAGGTACGGTTTCAATTCCTACCAAGAATACATATATTGATCTTGAAGTGCAGGAATATAATACTACTGGAGATGGAATGGAGTCATACACTCAGCAAAGGCAAGAACAAAGTCAAACATATGTTGAAGGAAATCAGGTACATAAAGATCACAGGAATAATCAAAAAAGACAGGAAGTACAAGGCACTATGACTGAACATGCAGTTTATCAACAAGAAACAATAAAAAACTCAGGTATTGACTCAATGCTCCCCTCCCCCGCACCCCCTTATATTGATACTGTTGGTGTAGCTGAAGGAGGTGAGGTTGGATGTGGTCATGTGGATACTAGTTTTTATCATGATAGAAATGCTAAAGGGAAAAATAAAATAGTTGAACAGGGTTCTTGTAGTAATGTTGATAAGGAACCCCCTGATAAAATTCAGCTACCTTATCAACAGGTTAACTTTTCTAATAATAATAAAAATCCTTTTAATACTGGTAAAGCCCCTATTGATCATCAAAGAGACAATTTTGATGAGTATAGGGAGCCTGATTCTGAAGATGAGTATGATGTTGATACTCACTCTTTAGGGGATGGAATTGAACCAGGGGAGGAAATCAAAACCTCTGATCAAATTCAAAAAGGCCCTTTACTTAGTACTTCTAATGTTGATGAAATACTTGAAGTTACTGGCAAACAAGGACTATCACCTAGGGGAAGGAAATTTTCAAAATCTATAAAAAAAATCTTAGAACTAGTAAGCCTAATACTAGAGCTAGAAGTAGAGGAAATTAATGATTAAGTTGCTTTGTTGGAATGCTATAAGCATTAATACTTTTGGTGCTCTAGAAAGGTTGATTAATCACAGAAAATTACATAATCTGTCTATGTTGGCTATTTTGTAACCTTTTTCTAACAAATCTCAAGTAGATTCTTTTAGAATGCAGTTGCTCATGAATCAGGGTCATAGTAATCCAAATAACAAAATTTGGTTATTTTGGTCTAATAAAGTAACCTGTGATATTTTGGAGTGTGATCAACAACATATTACCTGTGAGGTAAGCCATGAAAATTGCAGTGAGAATATGACCTATGTATATTCTAAGTGTAAAGAACAGTTGAGAAAACCTCTGTGGGATAGTATGTTGCAGTGGTCTAACACTAGGTATCCTTGGTGTATTATTGGGGATTTCAATGTTATAGCTTCCTCAAATGAGAAATTGGGTGGTAGAGACTATAATATCACTAAGAGTCTACAATTCATTAACATTATTGAAACTTGTGGTTTGGTTGATATGGGCTATAATGGTCAGAGTTTACATGGTGCAATCATAGAAAGGATGGTGACAAGGATTTGGAAAAGGTTGGACAGGGGTATGACTAATGATCAGTGGCTGGAAAAAATGCCTCATTCTAGTATAACTCACCTTCCATCAGTAGGCTCTGATCACTGTCCTTTACTGATGGGAGTAAGTTATTATCAAGCCAATGTTATTAGATATTTTAAGTTTCTCATTTATTGGACTGATAGTGATACACTATTAGCAACAGTTGAGAAGTGCTGGAAAAGGAAAGTGGTTGGAAATCCTATGTGGATTTTTCATGCAAAATTAAAGAGGTTAACAAAAAATCTAAGAGAATGGTCAAAACAGGAATATGGAGATATTTTTGAAAAAGTAAAAAAGTATGAGGATGAGGTGAAAAAGGCTGAACAAGATATGATTATGAATAACAGTATACAAAATAGTGAAAATTTGAATGCTTTTAATGCTCATTACATTAAGTATTTGAAATTGGAATATAAGATATTACAGAAGAAAACTCAGTTACATTGGTTAAAAGAGGGTGATGCAAACACTAAATATTTCCATGTTGTGATTAGAGGCAAAAGAAAAAGAATGTTCATTAATTAGCTTATGGATGACAGTGGTGCATGGATTCATGGGAAAGAGAATATTGCCAAAGAAGCTTGTGATTATTACAAAGGGATTTTTTCTGCTAATAATGACAAGATACAGGAAGAAATCTTACAATGTATCAATCATATGACTACTCAAGAACAAAATGATGAGTTAGACAAGATTCTTACAGACGATGAAGTGAAAAGGATTATTATGAGTATGAATCCTAATTCTTCCTCTGGCCCTGATGGATTTGGAGGCAAATTTTATCAAGTGTGTTTTGAAATTATTAAAGTTGATCTTATGTCTGTTGTTAAGTCTTTTTATACTGGTAACATTATGCCTAGGTATATGTCTCATGCCTGCCTAACCACGTAAAGTGGAACATCCTAACAGATTAAAGGATTATAGACCTATCAGCCTTAGTAACTTCATTAATAAGATCATTTCAAAAATCATGAGTACTTTATTATCATCAGTTTTACCTTCTATGGTATCAGATAATCAATCTGGTTTTGTCAAGGGTAGGAGCATATATGAGAATATAATGTTGGCTCAAGAAATTATCCATGGCATGAAATTACCCAAAGAAGGAAGTAATGTGGTTATCAAGCTTGATATCGTTAAAGCTTATGAAAGAGTTTCTTGGGCATATATTTGTATAGTTTTAAGGAAAATGGGCTTCAGTGAAGTGTTTATAGACAGAATTTGGAGGATTATGAGCAATAATTGGTATTCTGTGGCTATCAATGGTAAGAGACATGGATTTTTTCAGTCTAAGAAAGGACTAAAGCAAGGTGATCCCTTGTCTCGAGCACTATTTATTTTAGGGGATGAAGTTCTTTCAAGACAACTTAATCTTCTTTACCAAAACCAAATGTATAGAGGATTTCATATGGAAAGCAATGGGACTCAAATAAATCATCTTAGCTCTGCAGATGACATAATTATTTTCACTTCCACTGATATTAATTCTCTTCGCCTGATAATGAAGACTATTGAAGAGTATGAAGGGGTATCTGGTCAGCAAGTGAATAAAGATAAGAGTTTCTTTATGGTGACTTCCAACACTAATCATGTTATTATTGATAATATTGAAAGAGCTACTGGTTTTTGTAGGAAGGAGAGTCCTATCAACTATCTGGGGTGTCCATTATATATTGGACGGCAAAGAATTATCTATTATTCAGGGGTTGTAGAAAAAGAGATCAAAAGAATTTTAGGATGGCAAGCAAAGATTTTAATCTTTGAAGGCAAAGCCACTTTGGTAAAGCATGTATTGCAATCTATTCCATTTCATACTCTAGTAGCTATTTCTCCTCCTAAGACTACTCTAAAATGTATTAAGAAGGTTATTGCTGATTTCTTTTGGGGTACTGACAAGGATAGGAAGAAATATCATTGGTCTTCTTGGGAAAATCTGGCTTATCCCATTAATGAAGAAGGCATTGGTGTAAGGCAATTGGAAGATGTTTGTACCGCTTTTCAATACAAACAGTGGTGGGAATTTATAACCAAAAATTCTTTGTGGAGTCAATTCTTAAAAGCCAAATACTGTCAAAGAGCCAATCCTATGGCAAAAAAATATGATTCTAGGGATTCTATTTTTGGAGATATTTAACTAGAAATAGGCACAAGGTTGAATCTCTTAGTAAATGGAACATTCATTCTGGAACTTGAAGCTTTTTGTGGGATAATTGGTTAGGAAATGATTCTTTATCCAATCACTGTGATCATATTTCTAGCATAAACAACAGTAGATTAGCTGATTTTTTGATAGATGGTAAATGGAATGAGAGTTTAATTAGATAGCATGTTCCACCATTATTGATTCCTAAGATTCTTCAGACTAACTTCAAATATAAAGAAGGAAAAGAAGACACTGCCATATGGATACCAGATGAAACTGGTAACTTCACTATTTCTTCAGCCTGGGAGGTTATTAGAAAGAAATGAAATCATGACCCTATTAATAATATTATTTGGCATAAACACATTCCCTTTAAAATAGCCTTCTTTATTTGGAGAGCTTTAAAGGGCAAATTACCTACTAATGAGACATTGCAGAGATTTGGTACTGATATAGCAGATTGTTATTGTTGTTATAACAAAGGCAACGATGATATAAATCATATATTGCGTACTGGCAACTTTGCTAATTATATATGGAAAAAGCATGCATCTACAGTTGGAGCAGTTCATGTTTATACAAATATGAGAAGCTAGCTATTATACTGGAGGAATCTGCAAATAAACAATGAGGTACACAAATTACTTATTCATACTTTACCTAACATTATTTGTTGGAATCTATGGAAAAATAGGTGTGCTGTCAAATATGGAGGGAAGCAATCTAGCATATACAGAGTTCAATATGGTATTTTTAAAGATGCCATGCCGATTATTAAATTGGAGTATCCTAACATACCATGGAAGTATTGTTGGGTCCATTTGATCAATTTCGTAGATCAATGTCAACAACAATATAAGATCATTATGGTAAGCTGGATCAAACCAACACTAGGCAGCTACAAACTCAATACAGATGGTTGTTGCTTACAAGAAACTGGTATGACTGGAGGTGGTGGAATCCTAAGGGATCATCAAGGTAGTATAATATTTGAATTTGCTTCACCTTTTGGTTTTGGTACTAACAATATTGAAGAACTAAAAGCAGCAGTATATGGGCTTGAGTGGTGTAAACAACATGGATACAAAGACATTGTATTGGAGGTTGATTCATAATTGCTGTCAAAATGGATCAGCAACACAATCTAAATTCCTTGGAGATGTCAACAACCTGTACAACACATTCAACAAATCACCAAGAAATTACATCACTTTCAATGTCAACACATATACAGAGAAGCAAACAACACAGCAGATTTGCTAGCCAAATGGAGTCACAACATCGAAATTCCTCAACATTTCTACACCACAAGACAATTAAAAGGAACAATTACAGGAAGCTACATATTGGACAAGATGGGCATTAATAACTTTAGAAGAAGGAAAGTAAAGAGAATCAAACACCCTCCTTAAGCAATCATTTCAATTCTACATAGGATTGGCAAAGAAAATGTATATTAAACTTATTCATTGACCATTATAGTTAGTAGAATAGGTTTATCTTTTTTATCACTCTTGTAAAGGGAGAGTCTCCCTAGTTCATGCTTTCTTAGAAAATGTATTAAGAGAGGAGTCCTCTCTAGGTATTATTTTTCTTTAGATGTGCATCATTTTGTATAAGGTTGAATTGACTAATCTTTAAGATAAGTCAATTACATACCTACCAAATCATTAAAGGTAAGGTCTAGGTCCCCTTTCTTGTAATCTTTGATTTTATGAAATGTTAAGGCCTGGGGGTGTTTCTAAGCCCCTGACCCACCTCAAGGGTCATTCAAATAAAAAAAATTAACATTAAACCACTAACTTTATAATCATAAGCAGGAATAGTCCAGAACACCGCTTAAAAACTTTTAAGAGAAATCCGACACAATCTGGGCTACGCAGCCTATGACGGTCCGTCATGACTTTGACGGTCCGTATTGCAGGTCTGTTACAAAGTTCTAAGAGTTAATTCTGTAGAAAGATTTTTGACGGTCCATCGTGCAAACGACGGTCCGTCCTGCCATTCCGTCGTGAAGTTGAAAGAGTCGATCTCAGTACCCAAATTTCCAGAGTCTAAGTGTTTTGGAACGAGACCCCCTCGATGGTCCGTTGTGCCCATGACGGTTCGTCGTGGGATTGTCGACCCAGAGAGATATTACAAGAAATAAACTCTACTACTCAAAACGACTAAACAAGTCGTTACACCAATTTAATTCAATACATATAATAGAAAACGAATCAAATGTCATTCAACATAGATTTATGAATCTATGAAAGTACACTAACAATTCAAACATGATTATATAATAATTCAATAGCCCTACTCAAACTACAAAAGAAATCAATAGTATAGAGACTTGATCACTTCACCCATAAAATAGTCAAAACTGTGACAACATAGTGTGCATGGATTGATAGAATTGTTAGATTAAAATCATCCAAGTATCATCAATTAAATTATAATATAATTATTAAAAACATTTTATGCAAGAACCCATTAATAGATCACAAAATTGGAGAATTTATGTTTTTGATCAACTTTTAAAAATCATTGGAATTGACTCCTTGAAGAAAAGATATGCAATGATGCAAACCATAACTTAATATAGAATTTTAACCCACAAAATTGAAGGAAAAAAACATGATTAAAACAGTCTGGTTCCTTTGAACTTCATAGTTTTATCAATGTAGGTTTTACAGAGAAGAATGGAGAAGTTTTTTTTATCAGTTAAGGGTTTAATTTTTATTGGTGACTTTAGGGCTATAAAAATATTCAATAACCGTCAATAAATCATCCCCTGATTTCCTATATGACCTCAACACTTATTAGACATTTTAACAAAATGATGTTTGACTTAAAAATGAAGCAACCAAATATGGGTGTTTACAGCGCGTTGTAAAGGTATTTTCAAATCTGTGTTCTAAAAAACATCTTGACAGAATGGTTTATGAAAGCCCAGCGACACATGGATAGATTTTTTCCCACCACCACTATTTTATGGCTGGCGCAGCAACTTTTCTATCCCATGTTTGGGTCCTCTTTGGAAACACTTAAACAGGTCAGGCTATGCGTAGGAATCCTAGGTACTTAATTTCACCCTCAAACTATCCTCTAAATAATTACTACAAAACACTAGCTTAACTTCGACTAGTTTCCGAACGTCTTGGAAATTCTAGGATGTTTGACCTCCACACACTTCCAAACTGTATATGTTGCTTATAAACACTATTATTAACAATTTTAGGACTTTCAAACTTCATGATACAAGTTTTAGGCTCTATTTCAACGTAGCTCAGATTTAGAAGCGTTACTTACAACCTCTAATTGTCCCCCCCCCCAATCCGGTGTTATGATGACGGGATGAGAGACTAGCTTCTTTTTCAACTCTCCAAATGCTACCCTAAGACAAGCATCATTAAAGTAAAACTTACTCTATTTTTCATATAGTTTTAACAGCAGATGTAATGTTTTTGAGAAGTGTTTTATGAACCTCCTATAGAATCCCTCATACTTAAGAAAACTTCTCCCACCTTTAAGGGAGATAGGTGAAGGAACATTTTCTATTACCTCAACGTTAGCATAAGCCCAAGACTCTATTCAGAAATTTGATTCCCTTAAAATATATAGTCTTTCACCATAAAGTGACACTTATCCCAATTTAGTACAAACTTACGGACTTCACACCTTTTTAGTACCTCGGCAAAAATCATCCAAGCACCGATAAAAAATATCACCAATTAGTGAGAAATTATCCATTAACACCTCAATATTGTCCTCCACCATATCAAGAAAATTGAAATCATACAACAATTGAAGGTCATTGGATCATTTCACAATCCAAATGTCATGTATTTGAAAGCGAAGGTCCCATAGGGGCAACTTAATATGGTTTTCTCTTTGTCTTGTGGAGCTATTTGACTTTATTGTTTCCTGAATAACTATAACGAAAGAAATACCCACCCTTTTGTTTTAAGTCCGTAGAACATCTGGTCCGTGAAAGGTATAGGAAAGTTTTCCTTCTACGTCCAAGCATTAAACTTTCGATAGGCCATGCAAACTCTCCATCCACTCAAAGGTCGCATCAGCACAAGCTCGTTTCTCTAATTAGGCATGCAGACCACCCTTTTTAGCAACACTGAATTTCACATACCCAACTACTGTCTTTAGTGGGATAGATAACTCTACCATCCAAACATTTCATGGTCTCCTTTTTAAATAACTCTTGCATGTGCGGATTTATTCTTCTTTGGTGCTCAACACTAGGCTTGTGATACGGTATGAGTTTGATTTTTTGAGACCAAATACCAAGAGGGATTGTAATAATGTCCACAATAGTCCACCTAATATATAGATTGAACCTCTTCCACAACTACACCGAACACTCTACTTGTTGCCCGTTAAGCTCTACCGCAATTATGACTGGTAGAGTCTCATCTTTACCCAAGAATACATACCTTGAATGTGGGGGTAGAGCCTTGAGCTCCTATTTAGGTGCTTCTTAAAATAGGAGGTGTCGTAGATGGAGACTCATAATTTTTCATATTTACCTCAATCTTTCTGGCTTTTAACGATATTTGGCCTATCAAGTGCGGCCACCTACTCATCATACTCTTCAGTAAAATCACTCTGAAAGTTCATCATGACTATTTCTTATTCCTCCACACCCAATCTCTCTAAAATTTGCACCTCAGAACCACTCTCCAATCTATATGTCATACAAGGTATTGATTGGAGCTCACCACTCTTCTTTAAGAACCTACAAATATTGCAAGTTGCTTCTTCATTGTTGAGTCTGAACTTCATCTATCGTTTCTCTATATCAACCAAAGTACACCTTGTGGAAATGATTGTTCTCCCATTAATGATGGGACCTCAAAGTACACCTCACAATAAAGAATAACAAAATCAACTAGAAAATGAATGACCAAACTTTACTTGCAAGTCATGGTTTACACCAATACACCTTTTTATATCGGTGATGAGAAACCGCATCATAGTTGGTTTTGGAT